GAGCTGATTTGGACATATACATTTATCATTTCATTTAAAAAAAGGGTAACGCAACTTGAATTTAAAATTTCAATCTGAAATTTGAAATAGCCTTCTCCTGATGGGTTACCACGTAGACCAGTTCTTCGGGTGTGAGCAGGAGGAGGATGGTTCTACCATTGTATGTACTCAAGACTTGAGTCATGGTTGGATAGAATAATAGTTTGTATTTTATTTTCTTACTGGCTACGTATATTCTATTAACAAAAAAATAAAAAGCATAGCTCTTTTTTTTAGCTTTTTCTGTAGATATAGAAATATTATATTGAATTATTGTAGTGTAATGTCAATTTTATCATTTCAAGAGGATTTTGGATGGCCAATTGTAGGAGTAATTGAGTCATTTCCAAGACATCAATCCATCATGAAAAGATTGTCAGGGTTGATCTTTTCCTTTTTTTAAAAACAATATAATTTCCTATTCCCCCCTCGAACTCAAAAAAAAATGAACAGCCAGTAAAGGTCTTCATGTCTGGGTGTTTTTTAAACAATATAATTACTTACTTGCCCCTAATCTGAAAAAAAAAAAAACAGCTAGCAAGGAGGGTTTATATCTTTGTGTTTTTTAAAAGATTATTAAATGATCTTTTTTACCCTTACAATCGAAAAAAAAAAGGAAAAAACCCAAGGGTGATTTTATCTTTTCATTTGAATTTTTTTGGTTAAATGTTGGGATAGTAAGGAGTTATTTTGGATATTTTATTATGATTAAATGATTTTTAATAAAAAAAATAGTGCGTGAAGTTCCGACATCGATAAATGGGTTCATCCATGTTATTTGGATGGTGAATACGAAGAATCTTTGTAGCCAAATATATTGTTTTGTCATATTATCAGAAGAGCCATCTTGCTCTTTTTCTCTTGATGACATTTTTGGTAGTGCTTGGTGAACGGTTTGTAGTGGGTGGATATCTTTTTATTTTTTCTCTCTCTCCTAGCAAAAATACAGGTCAAATTTTTTTTTGTTCGTTTTTCATTTAAGTTCTTAAGTTTTTTTATTACTTATTTTAATTATTGATTCTTTTAATAAAGTTTTTGATGTTTTTAATTTTATTATGTAATTATAATTTGTTATGTATTATTATTTATGATTTGATCCTTATTCTTTTTATTTTAAATTTCTTTCCTTGGCTTGTGTATTAAATTTTTATTGTTTGTAATTTTATCCTTCAATTAAAATTTATTTTTTTATTTTTTTCAATTTAATTCATTTAATTTCTTTTATTTTGCTAAAGTTTTTTCTTTCAATTTATCAATCTAATGTTAGTTTTTTTATGGCCTCTAATTTATTTTTTATCTTGATTCTCATCTTTATTCTTGTAATTATAATTTTCTGTGTTATATATTTTTTACAATCTTAATGTGATTCATCTATATTTTTTCAAAATATTTTATATAGATTGAACTTATCTTTAAAAATATAAAATATTTATTTGTTAATAATATTTTTAATATGTGTAATTTTACATATATATTTTTTTTCCTTTAGTTTTTTCAATAAATTTTACATGTGTGTCGATTTTTGTTATTGATTGATTTTTATAAATAAATTCATTAGATACAACCAGTTAAATGACTTGTATTACAATATCAAATATATTGGCCTACATTTATCTTTCAATTTTTCTAGTATTTTTTTTTTATGATTGGCAATTTTTTTAGTATTTATTTATATAAATGATTATCATTTTATTTGATTAGATGCTTTTGTAAATTCTTTTATTTGTATTTGGAAATAACCTTCATATCTATGATTTTTTTAGCAAAAAGATTACTATCCATAATCAAGGGGCGGGGGCATGTTAAAGGCTTGGATGTGCTATTGTTCAAGTTGAGATTTTAGTAATATTTGTTTACTAATTTTATATAAAAAATTTTAATTTTTCATTGAGTTATTGAAAAATTCTAAAAACTTGTATAGAACCTTTTAATATGATGTTTTATCTTGGATTGAAATTTTAAAATTTTTCAAGAAATCTATAAATTTCATAAAAAATCATAATTTACTTAGTTTTATGTTATTCGGCATAATTATCTATTCGACCATCAAATTATACTAGAATATTACGAGAGATTTTAAAATATATTGAATAAAATATAGTTAAAATTCTACAATAAATAGAGCTTGGTAATAATAATAATAAAAAAAATTAAATAAAAATAAAATGACTTATTAAAAATAAAATGGTTTTTTACCATTAAAAAATAAAATAAATCCGTTATATATATATATATATATATGTTACTGGCTGGGAAAAAAGAAAAGGAATGACGAGAGAAAAAAAGAGAAAAGTAAGGGGAAAATGGCAGTGCAGTGCTGGCGGGAAAATGTGAAAACGGGCCAGGTATTAGCTACAGACAAAAATTCCAAGACGGCATGGAAGAGAAGGAAGTTTAGACACGTATCAGGCAGGAATCGTTGATTGGGCCAAGTTGGTCGTCGTTTTGAGCTGCGCGTTCAAGATTTTTTTCAACCCTGTTTTAGCAAGGCTACGAATCTAAAATAGGTAATGACCCTACTACCCTCCAACTTAAAATGATTGAAATTCATTCGTGGTCAGAGAAAGAGATGCTTGAACAGCGATATAGCATTTACCTTGCCTCAAGCAATACAATCATACCAATTAATTTAATCTTTGGTAAAAAAAAATACGTGTCCAATTCAGACTCTATCATATGAATGTATTAAAATCAAACTTTAATAATTGAAAATAATACAAAATCTTGTGAATTCTAACAAAGCAAATATTAAATTATCGGCTAAGATTTGAAAATATAGCTCCTTAAATATTTATAAATAATTTATTTTTTATATCAACATATTAAAATAATTTAAAAACATGTAAAAAGTAATTTAAAATAAAAAAAATTAGTTTTTTTTTGAAAAATAAATTTTCACTAAAAAAATAGATGTCTAGAATTAGAGGAATAGCTTGACCGGATATATTTTGGGCTACCAGCGAAAAAAAAAGATGGCATTTGCTTTGAATTCTGCCTATAAAATAACCGTGATTAGTTTTTCAATCTTTTCATAAAAAAAAATTTAATAATAATCTATGCGACAAAACCTGAGGATATAAAAACAAAATGATTGTTTAGCATTGAGTTTCACTTTTTTTTATTAAAAAATTATTTTAAATTATTTTTTTTATATTTCTTGATGATGTTATGTTATAGTACGAAATTTCAAATTTCAAATGTTTCATTTATAGTTACCAAACCAATCTTTTCTTGGTTTTTGGAGAAAACACGCACTTAAAGCCAAAAGGAAAAAACAAAAGTTACCAAACCGATTTTTGTTATTTTAATTGTGTTAATTATTGATTTTTATTCAAATTCAATAAAATATACGAATACCTTTCCACAAAATATCAAACCAGTTAAGACGCTTTTTTTACTTATAGCATGCCACAGTAACTTTTTTCCATTGATCTTGGAATTGTTAGAACCGTAAATCATTTTAAAAGCTTACCTTCTAACCCAAATTGTTAGAGAGAGGGACAAAAACAAAGCAGCTCTGATCTAACGTTAAACAATCCGGTCCAAACCAGAATTTAGAAATAATAGATACAAAGATTCATGGACATGATGACGTGATGTGGAACATGGTTTTGTACCAGCTGTTAGAGCATCTCCAACGGAGAAGTCAAATGAATAATCAAAAATAAAAAATTAATATTTTGATTTTTCTTTGTTTGTTTTGCATACTCCAATGAAGAAGCCAAACAAAATGCTAAAATGCCTTTTATTTCCCACAAATGCTATTTCTACATATCTCTTTAGAGAGCCAAAACCAACAAAGTGGGACCACTAAAAAAATAGACCAATTAAATGTAGACATGTGGAAAAAAATAACATTAAATAATATTAAGAAATAATAAAACACTTATTTTTTTCACTCTAATATAAATAGCTCTTCAAATGACTTTTTTCCATTGGAATAGATATGGTAAGATAAACTATATTTATACTATTCAAAATGTTATTTTATCAATTTAACTTTTCAAAATAGTATTTTAGATTGGAGATGCTCTCAGGGGAGAAAAAAGCAGGTGGGAATCCTGTTTTGCATGCGAACTTTTCTTACAATGTCAAATCTCTGTCCAAATGGGCCTCATGCGTTCACATCACTAAATTTGCATAGCCGGTTATAAAATATAATAGTAATTGTTTTTTAAAATATTTTTAAGTTTTAAAAAAATTAAAAAATTATTAATTTAAAGTTAAAAAATAAAAAGTTTAATTTTTTTTTAAATATTTTTAAAGCACAAGAACAAATAGGTAATAATGATTTACCATAATTTTTTACCAATATGCTTCTACCTATTTTTTACCACAATTTCTTTAATTTTATTGAAATATCATTAATAATTAATAACAATGGGTTTTTACCCCTGTTTGCCTGGAGGGTTGGTGTTGGTGGCATGGGGCTTGTTTTTTCGATGCATTGGAGTGCTTCCACCCTCCATTTTTTTAACTTATAATTAATAAAATGTTATCTCCAACCAATTAATAAAAACATTACTCAAATGTTAAAAGGGAAATAACTGTAACGTCAATGTTCGAGACATGGTCAGTGAAGACTCTATACCCCCAAAACAAGTTGCCTCTTTCTTGTCGCAGGAAAACAGATGCTAAACTTTATATAGAGAGAGAGTTGAAGAAACTGGCAAGATATCATGTGCTTAGAGAATCTTGTCAATTTCTTGCCTCCCAAATCATCAGGTGAAATGGGAGACTAAAAGTGAAAGGATATTTATTATGAATTAGTTCGCTTAATTGGGATTAGGGTTTCAGTGTTTATAAACACAATTCCACAACTTCGGACTTTGTTATTCTCATGAACTTTACTCTGAAAGGTATCAATATGTACATTTAAAGAACAAGTATATAATAACGAGTAGAGACATAAGGAAATTAAACATTTTAAAAAAAAAATATAGGGGCGCAAACTTATTGCTTCAAAAATCACTCATGTCACGAGAAGCAGCCAATTTCTTGTAAATTTCCAGAAGCAGCCTGCTATCAACTTCATCACCAGAAGATACCATCGAAATATGTTGATCTTTGGCAACCTTCTTCCCCCTAAAGAAGCCTTTGTTGTTCAAGCTGCCTATGGTGGTTGCCAACCGAATCATCATATCGATATAAGCATCATGAAACTTTGCCAGAAGTTTTATTGGTGAAGCAATTTCCATGTGCAACTTAGGGACTACTCTTAGTTTCCAGCGCCGCCCTGAACCGAGCCTTGCGATTTTCAGCTTTCTTTTACTTGCACCATTGAGTCTTTGGTATCTGTTCCTCCTCCAGTACCTCTTCACGTTCTCATAACATGCACTTGAAATGATCTCCATTTTTTTCTGCTACTATATGATAAAGAATGAGAGAGAGAGAGACAGATTTGCAAGGGGAAGATATAGTGAGAGAGGCTTTATAAAGAGGTTTCTTTCTTCTATTTATCTATATTTTCCTAGTAAACGCAGCCAGGGATGTACAGTTCATGCGAGCTGCGTTCTTTATGTTCCATGTCTGGTCAAATACAGAATTTCTGACCTAGCAAAATCTGAAGGATAAATAAAACAAATATATTCCTCTTTCAAAAAGAGAGAAATATGGATCAATATAATGTATTCTAGCCTAATTTGGACGCACCGTGGCATTGTCTTGTTCAATGCCTTTCTTTTTAGGGTCTAATTAATATGCTACTAATTTGATCATGTTGGAGATTTTTTTAGTAAATTAATAAAAATATATAACTGATGTTTCTTGACCTTGCATTCCATTGTTTGGGGGCTCGGCTCGAGACTCCTTTTCTTGACCTCCCCCAAGAATTAGTCCAGGGGCTTCGCGCTGACCTTGAACGTTCTCTCCATCATCCACCTCATGTAAAACCCTAATGCACTCGAAAGAAATTAGCAGGGTGATTTCAGTTTCTCCTGTATGCTTCCACGACCCCTCTTTCGTTTCATATGAATTCCTTGTTTCTCTCTCATATCAGTATTATTTTGAGAAACAGCCCACGCTTCACAAAAGTTGCTACGCTAACAGACAGGGAAAAAATAAAGGAATTCTCCTGCCGAACATAACACCAGCCATGTACATCTAGACGATGCCGTTCAACGAAACAAGAGGGTGTTGCTGAGAGTTGAACCAAAATCAGAATCAAACAAACTAGTTTAAGATATGGAAAGCCAAAGCTCTAACACTGAAACATTGAACCTGACACTATTCGCCAGCCATGTACATCTAAACAATGCCGTGAAACAGGGGGGTGTTGCTGAGAGTTGAACCAAAATCAGAATCAAACAGACTAGTTTGAGATATGGAAAGCCAAAGCTCTAAACACTGAAACATTGAACCTGACACTCTTTGGACGGGTGCTATCCCTACTTACTTTACAATCAAAGTCTGAAGCTAGTGCCTCCTCTCACTCTATGCCCCCTCCAGCATTGGCCTAGTGTCCCGCGTATTGACTCTTGAAGTTTCAGTTCCATGTTGAGAATCAATATATACACTCTCAAGTTCTGATTGATGCACGTTGAAACAGTTGATGTTATTGGATGACTCAGCTCCATTTCGAGACTCTGCCAACATCTGGAAATATGCGTGAGGTCCCCAGCCTGCCACATTCAATAAAGGACATGAGAAATTCCTGCCAAACAGTTTCAACTACTAATACGATATGTATAGCATGCACTTTTGATGCTGCGCAAACATTCAAATAGGCTCTTGCTGTGACCCAGGAAGGCATTAGACAGCAAGAGTCTAAACAATGAGTGTTTTCACCACCAGCAAGTCTTCACTGTACAACCAGATTCAAAGTTATGAGAAACAGACTTGACTTGGTATCATGATTTAAGCAGGTGAGTTGTTTGAATTTGTGCTGGATACAGGAAACCAGGGAAATGCTTTCAACATTTCAGCCTCTTATTAAAATAGTATTCCTGTTTTTCCCTTTATTTTACTGTACAGTCACGAGCAAGTCTCTTTATTTCTCTAAAGATGGACAGGGGCATCGAAATACATCATGAGAGTTGATAGCTGAATCTCGCATTAAGAGCACTGGAAAACAAAGTGGAAACCATCTTGCTATTAAACAACATAATGCATGCGCACAGGCACATACTTTGTGATAGATCACAAGAAACAAGATGTTGAATCGAAGGGGAAAAATGCACATGGAAGGTACTGCCACTCTAATATACAGCAAGGAAAAAGACTATCTACTAACACCTTTAGAAAGGACGATAGTTAGGAATTCAGGATTTTATAAATCCAGGCCTATAAAGCATCTGTTTCATGACAAATTAATGCAATTGCTGCCTCTGGTTTGAATTCAGACAAAACTCCAATATTTCAGACATCCTGAAAATTAGAGACCAGATTTGTTGAGAGACCTCGGGTACTAAATATATACAAGGAATGATGCCTGGTTGCTATAGACAAAATTTTAACCAAACATAGGGGAAGAAAAGGTTCAGATCTCTTACTAAAACTATGAGGCTCTGGATGTCTTTTTTCAACTCACACAGAAACATCCACAAAGAAAGCCTAGACCTTAACATTCTAATCTCTATAGGCTAGATAGAGCTTATTACAAATTTCCATGACCAAAATTACAGGACACAGCCACCATCTAAGAACCCAAAAGCCTTATTACTGTACTCTTTTTTTTCTCGAAGTAAATCAAAGCACAAACCTTGAAACATGTTCTTAGCATGTCTATAAAATGAATTGCTGAGTGTTAATTCTTAAATGATGAAATCATAACTCCAGATATATAAAGAAAATGGTTGTAGAGAATGCAGACAACAGATTGTAAAGAAGCATTGTGAAGAGGAATAAAGAATAATATACCATCGACATCATATGGGGGTGGGAAGAATTGCAAGTAGCAAAATGAAGCAACTGTTAGCCCTGCACAAAAAGGTAACAAAGAAATGATAAGGGTTTCACTATAACAAGTTGGGAACTGAAGCAATACCAATGAAATCCTAGATGAACAGACCTATAAGGGCCCCAGCAAATACATCTTGCCAGTGATGCCAGTAGTCATCAACCCGAGAAACTGCTACCAAAGCAGCAACAAGCAATGGAAGGAAAACAATACAAAGCTTTGCAACATGGCCCCTGCGGTCAAACACTCTGACTTTCCCAGACAAGTACAAGGCCAGGAACCCAAGACCTGCAAAGGACCCTGCATATCAACAGGTAAAATTTCCCTTAGCAGAGTTATTTTTCTTTATGCTAAACAGTTGCAATCTTAAAACAGTAGAATTTTTGCTAGTAGCTTCCAAACATGCAGATGCATGTACACACAAACACACAAAATAAATGTACCCATAATCCAAAAAAGCAGATGTTGGCACCTAATTATTCATAATGGAACACATTTGATGGACTGAATTCATGCAAATAAGGAATTCTTCACTTGTGTCCCAAACAGCCCAAAATAGTAGGCAAAAGAATAGGTATTTTTGTCTCCAAACAATTTCATTTGTTGAAATGCAGAGAACATTGCTTCATAACTATGTTATACTAAATAAGATAATTTTCAGAGCCAAGCATCAGGATAATAATTCATTTCGACAACAAATGTTTTTAGTAGAAATTCACTCAGTTTTCTAGCAAACAACAGAATGCAGGCTAAATATCAATCTCCACACTTTATTGCGCATTCATCAATTCATCATTGTATGTTAGCAAATTAAACGGAACCTTAACCTTTAGGGAATTTAAATGCAAGCAACGCTTGAATCTAAAGAGCACATCTCAGGCAGGGGAGTTTCAACGTAGTGGTAGAAATAGGAATAGACAGCACCACCAAGTGTTCGCAGTTAGAGGCAAAGAGATCATAGGAAAACACCATTCTCAAGAGCATATGACTTGGAACAAAAAGGATAGGTGGTAGATTCCATAATGTGAAAATCATAGCCCTCAAAGTAATGGACCTACTTACAAGAAGTATGTCCGCTTGGGAAGCTTTTATGACCTTCCTTGACAACACTCTTCACTCCAGTACACATAACATCGCTTGTGACAGGGTGAAACACCTGGACATGCAACACATGCATGTTGACTAAGTACAAATACAAACAAAAGCAAGAACTTGCTTGCAGAAACTTTGGACCAACAAAATATTAAGAAAAATGTCAAGGAAGTAAATTAACGGGACAGCATACCCCTTTTCCATCAGGGAAACATCGCCAAAAGAAGTCTGGACGAGGTCGACCAACAGCATCTTTAATTGCATCAGTTATAACTCCAGTGACAAGCACAGAAAATAGAAGGCCTGAATATTCATTAATCCATCTGGTGTTGGCAATCAGAATAGTAATATAGAAACAACAGAAGCAAGATTTTCAAAAAGAAAAACCTCAAAGAGAGAACAAGAGTTACCCAGAATGGCATGGTGCATATCGTAGACATTCCTTCTCATGAAATAATACACGAGAATGATAGCCAAGGGCAGCAATATTGCAATAACCTGTTATGAGAGGGGAGCATTCTTTAACAAAATTGTTATATAACTGAATCTCGAAAAATAATCTCTTTTGTCAAATATTTTTGTTAAAGCTGAAACATACTGGAACAGCCCAAATAGGAACAGTATTGTCCTTCAGTGGGTATGACAGGTCTGTCAGCATATCCTTTCCAACAAAGCGGTGAAATGGTTCTATAACGTTCAAAACGACCTCAATAACCAGGAGAAGCAATAGAATTAACCAGTCATGCATATGTGTCCTCGCAATTTGGATTCCATGGGATTTTACAGTGTGAGCACCCAACTGGATATCCGGCATTTTCTACTATTGATCCGGATACAAGCACCGAGACCACTAGAGAAATCAAACTGCAGAAAAAATGGTAAGCATTACTAGGGGAAATAAATGGGAAAATATTTTATCTTGTAAGAGACAAATTATTAACACAGTTAATGAAAGAGATCAATAATCATAGTATGATAATCAACAGCATTAGTCACTAGAACTGCATCCCGTACAGTGCCACAATCTTCTAAAGATATGAATGCCATAAGAAAACGAAGTGATCTGAAGGCCTAGAATGAAACAGAATAGTTTCATCCTAACATTTTTTTTTATTAGTGTCATGGCAGTAAAGCAATCTCAAGCTACATTGCCACAGCACAAAGACCTCAACACATCTCTGAAACAAGTACAAATCTGTAAGCATCCATAGCTCAATTCCGCACCAAATCATGGATTGTCTCTGTTATGACCTAAATGCCTTCAAAATTTACATAAGTTGCTAAATTAACACGCAATTTTTAGGCTGAGCTCAAATTTACCCGAAGCAAGCGATCTAGTGTTTCTTCAAGCAGGCTTTTTACTCA